CTTGCAAATGAAAACCTAAAACATGTGATTCTTCACAGACTTACTTTTTTATGCTAATAACAGCTTCAAATCGTTTGAGGTTTATCATTAAAAGCTGTTTATAAAGAGGCAGAAACTTTTAATCATCTCTCTTTTGCTCAAATTTAGCTGGATTAGAATGAGAAATGTCAACTGGAGGCTTTAAGGACCCAAATGCAGAGAGGAGTAGGCACAGATGAGTTTGTGATGATTTAATGAAAGTACAAGTGGAACAGAGGCAACAATCAGAGGTGTCAAGTAATGAAGTACAAATGCTTTCTACAAATTACTTTTTAAGTATCTATAATTTACTCTATTAATTCATATAGTGGCATCTGGCTGTTTTTTTTAAAGGCTACTTTATACTTTTATACTTTAAGTAGTTTTTGGAGCACATATTTTTTCACTTTTACTTGAATTAAGAGGTCAAGTTGATACTTAAACTTTAACCAGAGTGTTTTTATTTATTTATTTTTTTACAATTTTATTTATGATTTTTGACAGCATATGACATTGATAAATACAATATGTATTGGCTGTACATTTTATCAAGACCCCAATAAACAAAAAAAAAAAAATGTAAACAAAAATATATAACTAGAATACCGGTAACAGCAGTTGAATAATTTTTTCCATGTATAAAAACCTCATAAGGTCAGCAATCCACTGATCATGAGTAGGAGGAGTTTTTTTCCAATTCTTAAAGTAGTCTTCAGGTATTAAACGTCGCGCAAATAAAGAGGCAAAAGCAACAGTGTTTGAATAGCGTTTAACAATAGAAATGCCTGGAGGTATCACCCCAAAGAGTGAAATCAAAGCCGAGGGAGCAAGTTTGATTTTATATGTCTCAGAAAGTGTCTTAAATATAGCCGTCCAATAGTTGTTCAGAGTAGGGCATGTTCAAAAACTATGAATAAGTGAACCAATTTCACATTGGATCACTATCTGGATAAAACTTAGCTAATTTTTCTTTGGAAATATGTAAACGGTGTAGAACCTTGAATTGTAGGAGCCCATGCCTGGCACAGATAGAGGACGAGTGTACGCTATGCAACATACAATCCCAAAGATCACCTGAGATGTTCATCGCCAAATCTTTTTCCCAGTGGGATTTTATAATGGAGAGAGATGAAGATTGTAAATCCAGCAATAAGCTGTAAATTTCTTTAATCTCCCCCTTTTGTGAACATTAATATCCAAAATACTATCCAAAATTGTTTTCTCTGGTAAGTTAGGAAAAATACTGTATCTATTGACTGTAAAGTGGCGTGTTTGCAAATAACCAGAGTGTTTTTAAACTGCAGTATCTATACTTCTACCTAAGTAACATATGTGTGTACTTTTGTGGACAACACTGGCAAAAATACTAAAAAACTAGTGATGCTATAAGATGAGCTGAGACTTTGACGTGTGTGACGAGTACTGGAGGGGGCGTTTCCACAAGGTGCGTATCGAGGCTTGCTTCATTTGGGGGAGGAGCCAAAATAGATGACGTCTGAAGCCTCCTACCCTGCCATACCAAGTGACCCCTTTGGGAAGTGGTTCAGCTCACCCAGAACTTCGGCAGGCATTTAAAGCATCAGTATTGAGTCAAGATGTGGGAGTTTGTAGGAAAGTTGGATAGAGTTTGGATATATTCTAAGAATAGATTGGTTGGAAGCACAACCAATCTAGTTGGTTAAAACTAGTTTGGTGAGATTAAACAATGTAATGATCAAAATCTGAGGCACACAAGGCTACAGATGTAATGGATTTCTTACTAGTGGTGTCAGCTTTAAGAGATGGACTCCCATTCTTGAGGTTTATGGTTTAAGACTCACATCAAATTTTTGAAAGTTGTGATAACGCTTTATTTTTTCAGCTAATGTGACTGATTTGCATTGGTTTGCCCTAGTAAAACTATACCAGTGTTAGATTGGTTGGTTTGACCAAAACATTTGTTGAACACATAATTTCCAACCCGATTAAAACCAAAAACTCTGGAAAAACTAACATGTTTAAATAAAATAACGAACACCTTTCATTTTGTTAATCGTAGCCCAATTTGCACAAACAGTGTCACTGTCTGCTTGAGCTTATTTCACTAAAATGGCAGAAAAACTGTGACTTTTCTCTTCTAGGACATGTTACACATAAAAAACTTACTAAAGATTTTACTATACAGACCACAATTTAAAACAATTTAAAATGATTTTATATGAGAAAAAAATAAATAAAAAATTGGAAAAGATTAGATTCTATTACTAACTGTAGTTCTGCACTCCACCAGTAGGTGGTGACATGTTCACATAAGGCTTCTTGAACTGTCGGGATCATTGAAGCAATTAGCCAAACGGTGAAATGTCTCATGACGCTTCATCTCACCATCACTACTGAAAACCGAACAAAAACCAATAAAAATCAGGGAAAATACTGGAAGGAAGCAACGAAAACAACATCAACAACACAATAAACCTCTTTGACTAGGCCACTTTAACAGTATTAGCTACAGGTTTTTGTGGTCTTCTAAACAGGTTTTGTTGGTGGTTTGCTGAAGACAATTATTCCCACAACATAATACTGCCACCACCATGTTTCCAACTTAGAGTTGTTCTCTTGTGTCAAGGGTGAGATCAAATCTTACAAATATTGCTTTTAATCTCACTTCCACTTTTTTACCACATCTCCTTAAAGACTGGATCATTGGGTAAACAGTGCTTAGACTTTTCTGCTTAGGATGTAAATTTCTGCATCTCTTTTGGAGTTGGAAATCTAGCTTGTGTCCCATATTAAAACATAGTGCTGGCAGCAGCATGCTGATGGAATGCTCCATTTTTGCTGCAGATTGGAAGCTATCAGAGTTGATTAGAGTGAGGTTAACCTAAATATAATTTATGTCATATTTTTCAGATTTTAAAGCTGCTGCAGCATAAAAAATGTGTTTTAAAAATGGCAATTTTGACTGCTTATAGTATTGGAAATACATCGTTTAAACATGATTTTTTTTTCTTATTTTATATTCAGGATAAAGGGTGATTTTTAACTCTTCAACCAGAGCCACAAAAAAACCTTGAGCCATATTATTTAGGGATGTTTTTACAGAATACATGACGTAAAGAATGAAAGGTGGTTTGATGTCACTGTGATGTCATCCCTGAGGTATATGGAGGGGAAAATAAATCTTGAGTATTTGCATATGAATATCGCATAAAAAAAATAAAAGTACCATGAATTACATAAAATGTAATAGAAATTTCAGGAATTTATACAAGATAAGGAACATTAATATCCAATTAAATATCTAAAAATACATTTAAAATAGCAAAGGATTGAATTTCCTTTTTTAAACATTTATTTATTTATGAATTTATTTATCTAACACTGTTTAAATATTAGATATACCATATAATTGTTAAACACCAAAATCGTCATGATTTAAATTTTATATATTTAATGAAATTATAAATTGCAGTTAAAAATGTATCTTTCTTACAAAATTATAAAAATAAAGTACTTGATATATATAAATAATTAAATGTTATTTTAAAAATCTATTTATTTATTGTTTTATCCAACATTTCATTTAAGTACAAGAAATTCTGTGACATTATAAAATTCACAGGTAAATAATCAATAATCAGTCCCATTAAATGATTAAATTATACATAAAATAATAAAGTCTCATTTCAATGTTTATTTATGTAATATTTGATTTAAATTAGTTATACCATGGGATTGTAAATTTCACAGTAATTAAATGACTTATTCAATAAGCACATATTAAAATATAATGATTAAATGTTATTTAACCAATATATGTATTTAAACTGTAGTAAAAAGGATAAAATGTTTGGCAACCCTGGTTTAACACCCAGGTTGAAGGAGCGCTTCTCGTCCACCAGGGGGAGCCAAACGTTTGTCTATTTAGAAAATAAATCTTTGCTTAACTGTAAGAATTGTAAATCTGGACAAGATATTTCATGCAGCAAAATAATCATAAAAACACAAAAGTATTTATTGTAAGAAGCTTAATGCTCTTGGATCAGGGCAGGGAATATTTTTTTTTACACAAACCTGCACTGTAAGGATTTGGTTTATTGCTGCTTGTGCTAAAATAACAAATCAAATGAGGATTAGTGTTCTCAGCCCTCTACACCAGGCAGGGGGTTGATCTGGTGCCGGCTTCAGATCTCTTAGTGTTTGCTGCATACTCCTCACAGCCTCCTCATGCTACTCTCTACTCCACATAATAAACAGAAACCTCGACCATACCATACCAACTTTATTTATGAAGCACTTTATACACCGAACAGGACCAAAGTGCTGTACACAATCATAAAATACAATAAAATTATAAAATAGAGAAAAAACGAGTGTAAAATACATATTTGTATACAAAAAGAATAAAACAAAGTAAAACCTCTCAAATTGTGCCAAAAGCCAAGGAAAAAAGATGAGTCTTAAGAAGAGACTTAAAAACAGCAAGGGAAGAGGCCTGTCTTATGCTCAGAGGCAGATCATTCCACAGCTTAGGAGCTGCCACAGAAAAAGCACGGTCTCCTCTGAGCTTGCATTTTGTCTTTGGGACCCTCAGAAGCAACTGATCAGCTGACCTGAGGGAACGGGAGGGTGTATAAGAATGTAACAGCTCAGACAGATAAGAAGGAGCAAGGCCATTAAGAGTTTTAAAAACAAATAAAAGAATTTTAAAATTAATCCTAAAATGTACTGGCAGCCAGTGTAAGGAAGCTAAAACAGGGGAAATGTGGTCGAATTTTCGTGTACCTGTTAAAAGACGTGCAGCGGCATTTTGAACCCTCTGAAGATGAGAAATATATATATATATATATATATATATATATATATATATATATATATATATATATATATATATATATATATATCGACCAATAAAGTGTCTCACCATTCATTAATTTGTAAAAAAGGAAAGCCATAAACATCATAAATCTTAAATGAGATATTTTTCATCTCCCTTTCTGCAGGGTGTCTGGTGGAGAGCTGTTTGACCGAATCGTGGAAAAAGGATTTTACACGGAGAAGGATGCGAGCACGCTGATCCGACAGGTCCTGGATGCTGTGAATTACCTGCACAAGTTGGGGATTGTGCACCGAGACTTGAAGGTCGGCCACCTTTAAAAGCACATTGGAATCACCTATTTGGGTTCAACACAAGCTTATATAACACTAAATTTTTTAATATTTTTGAGCTCCATGAAGTTAACGGCCCACCCATGCAAAGGAACTCTCATAACCCCTTTCCTTTCAGCCTACTGTCCATCAAAATGAGCCTCTAGTGCTTTAAAAACTCAAAAAAAAAAAAATCTTCATAAAGGGAAAAAATTATGTACAACAGTGAGAAGATTTTTAAACTGCAGAGTGTCTTCAGTCAGAGGCTTCTCCACATCCGCTGCAAGACAGACCACTACAAAAGATCCTTCCTGCCTACAGCTATCAATAACTGGTTAAAAAACAAACCAAAATGTTAATTGATATTAATAGATTTATTAAGTATTTTTTTATTAAATTGAATTAAGTGCAGCACTAACCTCTGGTAGAATGGGAACATCATCAGCTGCAATTAAAAACAATTCTTAAAAACTGAAGCAGCACAAATGTCAGTTTTACCTTCAAAAATCTGCATTAAAGTAGCGCTAAAAAAAGTCAAAATCTTTGGTTCAATTCAGAGATCAGTGGAGGGATGGTGACCACTGGATCTCCTAAAAATCATTTTTAATATCTCAGGAAAAAAAAAAAACGGCACTAATGAAGCACCGCACCAACCATTCAGTTTATCTGGCGAGTATTTTCACGTGGGCGGGGCATCAGCTCCACGCAACGTCCATGTGTTCACTGAGTTGAACATGTGGAACATTCAATATACTTTTATTGTAAAATATGCTCATTTAGCATTTTCAGCTTGTGGTGAACTGAAATAGATGACCCCAATTCACCCGTAGAGTATGCTGATGGATCACTTATGTCGTAATCCTAATGCCATAACTTTTTAACTCGGATAAAAGGAATTAATCAGCAAGTTTGATTTATTTTGAGGTAATATATAGCTGTCACAATAAATTGTTTAAATATAAATGGTTCAAAGTTTTACTCAGCATATTATAACCAACTATTTAATTCTTTATGTTCTGAAAGATTCTCTTGATATTTTAAAGAAAATGTCCAAATATCAATGAGATCAATCAACTTTAGATTAATTCATAAAGCATTAACATTCAGCTCTACAATTTCGCTTAAAAAAAAGTCTGTTTTCCTTCCCTTAATGTTTACCGATCAGGCTTCCTTAAAGGCCTCAGGTATCACTGTGCAGCCATGAAAACTAGCCTGAGTTTGTCTGAGCTTTGCTTACGCTGGCTTGCATTTCTGCGTAGGATGATCATCTTCCACATAGCATCACCTCAATTAGCCTGTATTATTTTTTTAAAAATCACCTATTAGAAACTGGATTTATAAGTTCTTCTGTTCTTCTTGCAGCCTGAGAATTTGCTGTATTTTAATCCACAAGACGAATCCAAGATCATGATCAGTGACTTTGGTCTGTCCAAGATGGAGGGCAGTGGGGACGTCATGTCCACAGCCTGTGGGACGCCAGGATACGTTGGTAAGACAGCCAGACTCCCCTCATTATTAGTCTCCATTTATGCGTTTTCCATTATTATTCCTGGTTTTCTTTCCAATGATTTTGTAACGTTCTCCATTATTCGCCTGAATACAGTACATGAGAGGTTTCTCTGCCTTTACCATTTGTTACAGTCTCTCTCTCTGGTTATGAACATAAGTCATCAGCAGAACTTTATGTGGCATTTTTGCCCAGTGGAGATGGAGGCGTGTTGGTTGCATCATCAGCAAATATTTGTTGTTGAAGCTACAGCTAAAATGGGTAACAAATTATGTAGCATCCTCGCTACCATGATGATCATAATGCCGTAGACCAAACATTAGACAAGCATTAGCAGCTCAAACTCCAAGCAGATCTTTGAATCCATCATACTTAATGTTTTTTTTTATTTTTGCATGCTTAAATCAGTCCTTAGTTGCTTTCTCTCTATAATAAACCATTTAGAGTCCAACAGCTTTAGAATAACTCCCCAGATCCAACATAAACACATTTTCAATGGTTATTCGTTTTAATGTGTCTCATAGCAACCTAGTTTTCATTTTTCTCGGTTCATATTTATGTTTTTCTGCTTTTTTGTACATATAGATCAGGGGTATCTAAACATTTCGGCCTGTGACAACAAAAAATAATAGCACCACAGACTTTATTATAGTTATTTCACTATCATATAATATTTTATCTAACTATTTATTTATATATCTATATATATAAACATATATTTATATATAAATGTATTTATTTTTATATAACGTTGAATTATTGATTTATATTTTTTTATGAGGAGTTTCAATATTGCATTATATGCCTATATAATTTCATGGTATTTCTAAGATTTTCTTAGATTAAATCAATAAATAGATAAATAAGTAAAATAGTTTAGTTAGGCTATTTATCTTTTCTTGTTTAATGGAACATTTATTTATTTTGTTATATTTATAATATAGCTTATAATTAAATCACGTGTTAGTTAAAAAAATGAATGAATAAATACTATTTTTAAATAATATCTAATTATTACAAATTTCTAATTTATTTAAAAAATGTAATGGGTCTTTTTTTTTATTGTACATTTTATAATTTCATGCTATACCTAATATTTTGATAACATTTTTGATAAATAAATGTAACATAACTACCTAATAATAAATGTATTTATTATTAGGATTCCAGTGTTATTTATAGATCATAGGTCCAGTGTCCAGCATGCCATCCTGGAAGTGTTAGAAAATGGAACAACGGCTCTCAGTTTTACAGAGACTGTAAAATAAACAAATAAACAAGCCGGGGAATAAAATAAAATTGCACTGATGCTCAACAACTAAAACTGGTTATAAAGCGCATTTACCAGAACCCAGCAGGACTTTGCTTTAAAATGTTTGCTGATTTATCACCATCTGACAGATTTTATTTGATTTATTCGCTTTTATTTTTCAAGTCAAACCCAAACACATCTCAGAGATTTCTCCTCTGCCAGTTTCTCTACTTAACTACCCCCCCCCCCCCCCCCCCCCCCCCCCCCCCCCCCCATCTTTTCTCAGTCTCCTGCTGAGTTTTGTAGGGCCAAGGGCCGTTTTCTACTCCAGACGTGTTGTGTCTATTTATAAATGAGGTATTTATAGCCAGAGGAGGCACCGAATGAAAACCAGATCTGACCGACGAGCAGCTCCAACTCTTAGTTTGACCATATTTGCACAAATCCTTCAATCACAAATTGCTCTGATTGTTTTGTAGCTGCCTCCAGCAGAAATAAGAATTATTCTGGCTGTAAACATTGTTGAAAGTGTTGCTGCAAAAGCAATAAAAACTCAGCATTGTGTTTTGTTTGTTTTGTTATTCCTGATCTATCTGTACCAGCAGCAGCTCACAGGCATTGCATGTTCTCTACAGGCCCTGTCCAGTGAGGAGGTTAGCCTCTGCCGTTATCCTGAATGCTAAAAGTATTTGTAAAGCATGATTTGGACAAATGATAAGTCAAAATGCAATAAAGGAAAATAGGAAAACGAAATAAAAACGAAATAAAATTAATTCATGATGGCCGTGAAGTAAATAGTTCATAATTTAAAAAAAAGAAATATTTATTTTTGATAAAAAATAAAGGGAACACTAAAAAAAAAAAACGAATTCTAGATCCGAATTAATGAAATATTCTCATTGAATACTTTGTTCTGTGCAGAACTGAATGTGCTGATACCAAAATCCAACAAAAATCATCAATGGAAATAAAATGTATTTAACAATGGAAGCCTGGATTTGGAGTCGCACACAAAAATAAAGCCAAACTCAATTTAGAAAGCATTTTGCCCCTTAAGGGATAACTTAAAGACACATTTTGGCTCCCGAGAAGGCACTTTAGCATGTGTTTTTAACAACTGGGCCACAAGAGGGTGGCATTTAGCATATTTATTTAGCATATTTATCAATTATATGTATTTTTTGGGGTGGTCACCAGTCTGCGGTATTGTAATTCTTGTGGTCACAAAGAGAAAAGTTTGAGAACCCATGACCTAACCTAAGCAGGTACCGGTTTTTAAATGTGTTTTTTAACAGAAAATATTACCTCTGGCAATTGTTTAAAGTTTGTAATTGGATGATAAATTAATAGACTGTATCTGAGTCCACAATAAATTAAGATGACCATGGGCTTCTAACCTTTGCTTTCACCTTTGATCAGACATTTAAACTTATTTAGCAACTCAGGTTATGTCACAAAATCAAAGAGTCATTCATAATCTGAAATAAGGGATAGAATAGAATAGAATTGAATAGAAAAGAAAATCCCTTTATCTCCCACAATGGGGAAATTGTGGTGTAAAAGGTTATAACAGAAGTGACCTTAGAAAAGTGTATAAAAATAAAATTGGAAAATAAACAAATAGAGAATTGTACTGTAGCGTGTTTTAACAATAGAAATACTCTGTATCTAGAGAATAAAAAATCAATAAACATCTGTGGACATTTTTACACTAATGGATATATGAAAATAGCAGCATCATCAGAGATGTGCAGAATGGCAGCAGCATGTTATTTAACTGACTAAGATAGAAACTGCAAAATCAGCATGAATGTAACAACTTATTGAGGTTGTTGGGAACAGTGGTGGTTATAGAGTCTTCCAGCTGCTGGGAGGAAGGATCTGTGATGAAGCTCCCTGGTGCGTTTAGGATGCAGCAGTCTGTCACTGAAGGAGCTCTCCAATTCTGCAACAGCTTCATGCATGGGGTTGTTCATGATCAAGTCGTTCTAGAATAAATGGGATCCGAGAACAGAGCATTGAGGAAGCCCACATTTGATCCAATTTTAAATTGTCAAATATTATTAAAAAGACTTGACCTGCCACCTCTCCAGTCAATTCTTAGGATTTTATGCCAACCATACATCTGAGATCCAGTACAACCAAGGATGGCTATTGAGATATACAGCATGTCATTCAAAACCTTTACCAATATACCACATATAAATATAGTAGTATAGTAGTGTCCATTCTTATCAGAAAGGGGTCTATATTTTTATGATCTTCTTTAAAATCTTGAGTTGGATAATAAGGTTTAATTACTTATTATTCAGGTATCTAGACTGGGCTTCTTTAAGAGTGGTCTGCAGTCATGGTGATTAGATTCCTTTGGATAACTTGTAGGAACCTAATTACCATGGCTAGTGCTGCATCCAGGGTAATGGAGTGTTTTTGCCAAATAAACATAAGTTAGTGGGTATGTGGCATTTATTGTTGGTGTAGCCCCTTAAAATCCCACAGAATTACAGTGAATGTTCTCTGGTATTGAAAAAATGTGACCACATCATTGTATGGTATTGCATTGTTCAATGCTAAGCAACATATTTGATGCTGAAGTCAGTTTTCCCAGAAATTCCTCTGGGAATGCTGACTTCAGTGTGTAAAATTGTCCTAAATCCAAATCCGGGAAAACAGAAACACTCAGAGAGGCCTTGGTGATGAGTCATAGTAGACCAGTAAACAGCAGGAGTATCCCAAGGTTACGTTTCACCCCACATATGTCTGGTGTCTCTACATGTCTCTGGCTGTGAGGACTGAAACAAGCGCTGCAGGTTTATTTTCAGGCAGCTGTGTTTGGGTCTGTAGGATGAGTTCGGGTTCTGATTGCTTGAAGGGAAGGTTGGGATTGTTGTTTCATCCTGTCAGGTAGAACCTGATGAAGCTCAAGCAGCAACTTTCCCATCATAAATCGAACCAACATGTGATTTTAATTTGCACAGGCATGGACTGTCTGCATGTTTCCCCTGTTTATAAGCTTATTAAACTTTTTATAAAAGACACACGCCAGTGTTAATAGATGGCAGGTCCTTGAATGAAGTTTATACCTCATTTTTGTCTTTCTCAGCTCCAGAGGTTCTGGCACAGAAGCCGTACAGCAAGGCAGTGGACTGCTGGTCCATTGGGGTGATCGCCTACATTCTGTGAGTAGCAGCCATCTTCCTGTACATCACTGTGCTCACCTCAGTGGTCCGTCCGTTTATCAATCCATCCATGCATTCATTCAAACATCGATCCATTTGATCATCCATTCATCCAGCCATCCATCCATTTTACCATCCATCCATCCAATTATTCAACCACCATCCATCCATTCATTCATCCAATCATCCAAGCATCCATCCATTCATCAAACCACCATCCATTTGATCCTTCAACCATCCATTCATTTATCCAATCATCCATCCATTCAATCATCGATCCATCCAACCAACCATCCATTTAATCATCCATCCATCCAATCATCCATCCAATCATCCATCGATTCATTCATCCATCCATCAATCCATCCATTAACCATTCATCCATCCATCCATCTAACCATTAAGTTTCCCTCGATCTATTTATCCATCTGACCACTCATCCAACCAGCCAGCCGACCATCCATCAATCCAAACATCCATCCTTCCAACCGTGCATCAATTAATCATTCCATCCATTCCCTATCCATCCAACCACTCAACCATTAAGCATCTATCCATTTTTATCCATCCAACCTCTCATCCAACAATCCGTCCAACCATCCATCCATATGTCCTCCATTCATCTGTCCATCAACCTATTCTTCCCTCCAGGCATTTGTCCGTCCATCTATATGCCTGTCAGTCCATCCATCCATTCATCCCTAAGTCTGTCTGTCCATCTTTCCCTTTTCTGTCTGGGATAGACCACTTTCCCACAGCGTGATGCATCCACCATCTTGTTTTCCTGATAACGTCTTAGTTTTATGTCACAAAGCATTTTGTAAGGAGCCCAGAAAGTTTTAAGTTGGAGTTTTAACTGCCATATTCAACTCCATTGAAGGACACTATTACCCCTAACTCCCCCACCGACTACAAGGCCACCAGTGTATTAGAAAGAGGTTAAACTAAAGTCTCTCAGCTTATCAGAGCTCATTCCCACATCCTTTACTTCATTTCTATATGCGCTACCAACAGAATGAGATATTAGAGGTCAGAGGTCAGCAGCCTTCTAATGGGAGTCTCAGTATCTGAGATGGAAAGAGAATTTATATGACAGTGACTGATGTTTCCTGCACGGACCGCTGTCTTCTCTTCCTAACCTCCTGGTAGGAAATATCATAGTGTGTGAACATATGTACTTGTTTATGTTACCCGTTTAGGACCAACAGGCCTTATGGGGACCAAAGGCTGGTCCTAATGTGGTAGATCCCCATTTTAACCCTAGGGAGTCAATTATTGTTAGGGTAAATGTCAGCGTTACGCTTAAATGCAGTTACTAATATGACTGTTAATCAATGTAGAGTCTAAATATGGATAGAAATACATACTTGTGTGGGTGTGTGTGGGTTTGTACCCGTGTAGCCCTCAGAGTGAGGACCATTTCTCCAATTTCACCATCAGATTGAGGACCAGTTGTTGCAAAGTGAGGACATTTTGCCGACCCTCACATGCTATTTTGCTAATGGTTAGGTTTAGGGCTAACGTGTCAATTGGTTAGGGTTAGGTATGCATTGGTAATGGTTAGGTTTAGGGTTAGGTCATAGAAAGGGTTGAAAATGACTGAAAATCAATGGAAGTCAACACATGCTCCTCACTACATGTAGCAGAACGAGTATGGGTGTGTGTGTGTGTGCTGAGTGAGAGCAGCTCACTGCTGCTAATTAGCCCGACTAGAGCTGGAAATCAGAGCTTGTTAGCTTGTAGCTGCTCAGATGGAAAGATCATATCAAGTAATTAACTGTGACAATCAGCCAGGATCCTCAGTTTATGGACCCGTGTTCAGGAGAGCGATTCTGACCCTGTTTTGGCCTCATTGTCTGTTTGCTCATGTTTTTATTTGTGCTCTATGGTTAGACAGGAACGTCTTCAAGTAAAAAGGGACAGAAAGCGCTCCTGTTTTTGCAGCAGGGACAGTCCTGCTCTCTTTCTTCCTCTTGTTTTTATTTCTTCGATGTGAAATGATGGAGAATGGTATTTTAATGAGTTTTTACGAAACTCCCTCAGTACGTCCCTCTCTTTGGTAATGAGGAGCAGATGATGTTGTTTTTCAAGCAGAATAACCTCATAACCTTTTTTTGATTAGGATGTTTTTTTATTATGTTTCATAATTTTTTTTCCAATTTTTGATTTTCAATTGTTTTCATTGCTCAAAACAATATTGGAAGAACATCACTCCATACAGATCCACCATTGTTTTTTAGTTATCTCACTTTAAAGAATCAGACTAGAATACCCAATAAATCATGTTCTTCTATATTGGAAACCATTAACCTGGGGATTATTCTGCTGCCTCTGATGTAGAGTAAAGTTGGTCTGACAGAATTGATCATAATCAGAAACTTTTCCACATTTTGTTTTCTTATAACCACTAAATTGTATGTATTCTCAGATAAAAAAATTTGAAAAGTGTGGCATACATTTATTTTAGCTTCCTCGGGTCATTACTTTGTAGATCCGCCTTGTGCTGCCGTTCCAGCTGCAGGTCTGTCAAAGGTTTTTCTCTTCTAAAGCCTCTAAAAAGTTTTATATATTTAAATCCATCAATCCTCCTATCGACTCTGAACAACTTCCTTCATTTTGCATTTCGGCAAAAAGGTTTAACTTTGGTGTCATTTATCCTTTAACTCCTTCCGTATCATTGCTCCATCCAATTCAGGGATTGTTGTCTTTTTCTTGCTGCTGAATTTTTGATGTAAGCTTTTAATAATTATCTAAATTGATCAATCCTCTGAGGTCAGAACAGAAACGCTGCATTTATACTAAGATTCAATTCCCTAAATAGATCAAATGTGGAAGGCTCCTATGATGCAAATAAATGCTGTTTTAACTTAATGTTATTTTGGATATTTTATGAGTATGAACTGAGTTAAAAAATATGGTCATCCGGTCAACTCAGCACACATATGGAATAAATTCACCTCAATGCCTGTTTAAAATAAAAAAATAATTATGATTTTCAATCATCTCCAAGTCAAACATATTTTAGTTAAATGAATCAATTGAAATCAAACTAAATTACTAATAACATAAAGAAGTAAAACACATGGTTGAAAACATAATCAATAAAAAGATTCTTTGATATCAAACCAATTCATGATGCAAATCCAAGAGGTGGAAAAAAACATTATTTGGTGAAATTATACTTTATTAAATTTGCTTATTCAGAAGTCAATTAAGAGTGGCAGCCTACTGAGACCCACTCCCACAGACTGCCACTCTGGGTCACTTAGCAAGACCCTTAACACCCACACTGCTCCCCAGGCGCCGCACAATGGCAGCCCACTGCTCCCCAAGGAGATGGGTTAAAATTTAGAGAGTTAATTTCATTGCTTTGTACTTGTGACAGTTTAATGACAGTTAAGTTGAATTCTATGCTAAACATAAAAAAAATGAGTGTTAACCTTCTGTGATTATCTGTGGTGGGGTTGTGGGCTAGTAGCTATCAGACACGATGGGACTTGTTTAAAAGGAAACATTTGCTATTTTCTGGCTATCAAATGTAATGAAAATATCAGGAAACACAAAGAATAACAGTAAATTAGTGTTTAAACCCTAATTGAACTCAAGTTTGTCTTAACTTTGGGTTGTCTATGCAGACCATATTAGCTGGTTTTATGCAACAGTAAACACTTGAGATGATCCAAAAATATATAAAAAAAAAAAACAATATTATAGCTTGAAACTCCAGATCTCAGCTTTGAAAAGCTAAGGTGATTTTAAGTTCAGGAAAGCTTCGCTTAGGGTGTGTTGAGCTAGGCTTTGTTGGTCTGCTGTTTGAGCACATCTGGGACCTCTGGCTCCAAGTTATTCTATAACTCAGAGAGGAGGTTTGCAGAAATCGGGTTCTGAAGGTGGCTTTATGGCTGCTATACTTTAGCAAGGGTTGAGGAACACAAGTACATTTAGCTCTGCTCCTTGGGGTTTTTACCAAGTAAACCTACATGGACGCTGGTCCAACGATGTCCAAACTTAATATCATGGCTTATGTCATGACATCCCATTAAACTTGTATGATTTGTCTCATGTTTTTAATCAAATTATCAGTCAAACTGGATTTTAAATAGTTTATTATCTTGTTTTTTGTCAGTATTAATGACTTTCTTCCTCCAGGCTGTGTGGTTATCCTCCATTTTATGACGAAAACGATTCCAAGCTGTTTGAGCAGATCCTTAAAGCTGACTATGAGTTTGATGCACCGTACTGGGACGACATATCAGACTCAGGTGAGTCTTACTCTACTTTTTTCTCTGTTTTACCTTACCATCATGGGAATCACACGCTCCACACACCACATCGGCACCCAAGCCTGACCTCATTTTCCAGGGATAATAATGTTTGTGTCTTTGGGTCACTGCAATGGTTTCATGGTTTGTTGCTGTCTGTGTCTCTCCTCGTGAAAATCTTTTTTTTTCTATCAGAAAGAAGCTGGTGATGAGATCACCTGCTCCTATCAGATCTTCTTATTTATTGATTTATTTTTAAGTAAAGAAATTCAGCTCATTCTGCAGTGTTGCATCCAACTCTTATGTTTTAATGCAGAAAAATATGGAGAGATCTCACCTGATCTGAACAATAAAAAGCAATGGGGGCCAAAACAAGTATTTTAAAATGAATCCTAAAATTAACTAATAGGCAGTGAAGCTCTCCTGTCTATGCCTAGCTAGTTGCATTCTCCTGCACAGGTTGAATGTACTACTATAGAGTGAGACAAAATAAATACTTCCTATTTACTCGCAAACATTGTAGATCTTCCTAAATGGTTCCGAGAACAGATCTCTGAGGTACACCATATGGTATTTATCCTTGTTTGACTATAGATCTGCTGCCTTTTATTTAGTGAAGATCAAAACCCTTCTAGCTTTCATGTATTTTGAAAGGAAAATATGCTTTAAAAAAAAAAGGTGTATATGGAAAAAAAGCCACACAAATAAAGGCTTATATTTAAATGTTTTGCTCATTTGAAGCCCATAAACTTTCTGATCAGTTTTTTTTTTATTATTTGTTTTTATTCATGGCTTATTTTTATTGCAGCTTTTTCGGTAAATTAAAAAAATCTTACATTACAGCAAAATAAAAACAAATAAAGTGTCACTTTGAACTCATAATCCAAGCAAAACATCCATGAGTCTGTTTTTTTCTACTTAATCGAGGTCGTCTCAGATCTTTATTGCTGTTCTTTTACAAGTCTGTCGTTTCCCTGTTTTATTGTAATAACCTTCTTACCAACTAATTTATTCAAGCATATGTCTTTTATGATACATTTTGAACAGACACTGTTCTACAGGTCATAGGGATCTTATAACCCAAGTATTTCATATGGTGAATTATTTAAAATCTTAGAAAACACATTTCCAAAAAAAGTGGATAATCTTGCTCTAATGCTCCAAATTCTTTCAAATAAGGTACAATTAAAAAGTACTACTAATTAGTGATCGCCTGTGATTTTTAGGTTCAAATCTGACTTTATATTCTTTTCAAACTGAAGTTTTTTTAACTGTATTGATCTTGATTTACCGGAAGGTGTCCATCCTCATCTCTGTCATTAGTTGCTGGTATTTAAGGAAATCTCTTTAGTCATAAATTTATTTCATATTTTGGAAACACCTCAGCGGGATTCCTTTGCTTTTTCACCATTTTTTTATTTTGTATCAGACCTGAGCGTTTTTTTTTATCACTGCAGATCTTAATAGTTTAGCATATGGATCAATGTGTCTGTCAATTAGCAATTATTCCTCTAATGATTTAATTTTAAACATTTCTAAGTGACGTTTTCTTCCACATAAACTTTTGCAGTGACTCATTATGTTTCTACATTTAAAGATGTTTTATTTGTTACCTGCTCTCTATCATTTACAAAAAAATCCATATCTATGTGTTTTTTTTAGTTAATCACTTTTAATGTAAGAGTTTATTTGTTCTTTTTTATTTCTACATGTTTTTATTCATTTATTTTCAGCCAAGGACTTCATCAGCTGTCTGATGGAGAAAGATCCGGCCCGCAGGTTTACCTGTGACCAGGCTCTCAGACATCCCTGGTGAGGGGAAACACTCAACAAGTCCGCATGTTTACAGGCCACTGCTGCATGTCTGTGTGAAAATACCAAAATGTACATTTCAGGATTGCTGGGGACACAGCGCTGTGCAAGAACATCCACGAGTCAGTCAGCCGGCAGATCAAAAAGAACTTTGCCAAGAGCAAATGGAGGGTAACCTTCGTTCCCTGCTGATCATTCTAGCATCCTAGTTTAGTTATGTTCAAACTGCCCCTTTTTCTTATGAGATTATTACATTTTCTACATTTTTCTAACATTACTTTCATTTTTCACCTCAGCAAGCATTTAACGCTACTGCCGTAGTGCGGCATATGAGGCGACTGCAGCTTGGCAGCAGCAGCATGGGCAGCAGCATGGATGCGTCCAACCCCAGGCAGACGCAGAGACCGGCCCAAACCCAGAGCCAGTCGGGCCAGAACTCGACCACTCAGAGCCAAAACAGCGACCAGGCGGCGCAAAGCCAGGGCCCTGCTAAGAACCCCCCCACAGATAACAACGTAGCTGCTCCGCGCAAAGAATGTAAGTCAGTAGAGCTACAGAGTTTTATAGCAAATGCAAACAAAAATGATACAAATATGTGCACCAGTATGGAGTGAAATGTGTTCCATTATTCTTGCAAGCATGGAAGAACAAATTTTGTTGAAAGAAATATGAAAAAAGTCCTTTGTTAATTGTGATTTGTTGGAAAATGCAATCCAGATATGAAAGTCTTTAGGGCAGCTTCACTGTTTTCTCTTTTTTTTTTTTATGAAAATTTATTTTATTCCTATTCAATTTTCTATTTCTTTAGATACAATTTTAAGAATATCATTCTTATCAAATTGTATTCTAAAGATTATGTTCTCTTCACTTCAAGCCAAATACAAACACTCGCTGTTGAGCAACAAAAATGTTGCTAAAGTTTATAAAGACCAGAGGAAAGCCCACCGCAGATGTAAAATAACATGATCAAACTAATTTCAGAAGTTTGAAAAATTTAAATATATCTTTAAAATAAAAAAAAGAAAAATAGATTTATGTTAAAGTTCAATTCCTTGATTGCTTTTTTTATTTTATTTATTTTCCCTTTGACAGAAAATGTTCTTTGCTTCCAACAATAACGGAACAAAATTCACTCCGTACTTTATTACACCATACACCAAATAGACAGAAAACAACAGAGAATCACTGGTAATTACATTAGCAGTAGGTTTGGGCATCTCTATAAAAGTAGAAGTTATTTTAATCTTCTGTTTGGAAGCAGGATATTTTCAGGTTGATTCATATCAGAAACAGCTGTGAGTGTTTTGGGATTCTTATCTACTAAGGTGTTTTCTAAAGAAGCCAATGAGTCAGCCCTGACTGCTCTTTATGCCAAGGAGTCAAACCTGACGCCATTTAGATCCAAAATACAGCAGAATTTCTGATTGCTGGTACTATTAAGTCTCAACAAACGTTAGTAACTAATAGATCAGATCTGAGCTCTAGTTCTTCTACAGCGATACTAAGCTTCTTCCCATGTTTGCTAGGTCTCCCTGCACCCGTCACCCCCTGCAGCCTGGCATCTGCAGCCTCTTCCCCCGCTGCAGGGACGGAGCTGAACCGCCCCCACCCCTCAGCGGTGCCCGCCCCGATGATGACAGAGACCAAGTGACGCCAGGTCCCGCGGGGCACCAGCTGGGAGGCCACAGCGCTGTGAGGCCGAGAGAGAGAGTCCAAAAAGGGGAGATCCTACTCTCCGTAGTTCTTTCCTTCTCTTAGACGTGCCGCCCACCTAGTTCCCCGCCCTGCTCGAAGGAGAGCAGAGGACATCACTACCACCCTCCCCCTGAAACCCTTTACGATTCAAGCCACCATTGCCATACTTTGCCCCCATCAGGACGGCTTGCAGGATTCTTCTTGTAGAAACGAAGCATCCAGTGACTCACTGAGGAGGTTTGCATGGTCCACTGCTCTGTGCTTTACGCTGCAACTGGGGTCATGATGGCGTCAATATTATTCAGTGTCGGTCAACTTCCCTATGGAATCTGGGCTATTCTTTTTAATTTAATTACCTTTTTTTTTACTGTTGACTGTTTGCAACCGGATTTTTTCATTCTTTATTCTTCCTGTTAATTTTAACGGTGGCATTTGTACCTTTTAGTAGACAGAGCATTGTCAAAAGGATATTTATTGCCACTTTGATATAATTACTGTAAATAAGCCATAACTGAGTTAAATGACAAGGAGTCATTTACTTCATTTTAAGTTAAGATGTTGTTCTGTAGGTGTTTTTCCAAAATAATGCCTCATTTCCCGTAATTCCATCGTCTCAATCCACCATCTCTATGTTTCAGAGGCAAGAGGTGCAAACTTGCTGCAAGTACATAAATGTGCTACAAACGCAAAAAAAAAGAGTGTATCGTGCAAACAGGTGAAAATACACGATAAAGGAAAACGCCGTAAAAGAAGAATATGCCGCACTCTGTGAAAAATTTAACGATGCGAAGAGGAAACAGGTTCCAAATACAGGAACAATGCTAAAACACATGGGAAGGAAAATGGCTGCAAAATAATTTTTTTTTAAAAACAGCTGGTTAGTAAAAGCAGAAAATTTGCCCCACATAGCAGAAGTGCTCTAGACCACTAGAGGGAGCCATGTTTTTTTTAACAGCAAATTGGTAAGAACGCTTTAGCAAAAACTAAAATGCGACAGCAGTACGGCAGGAAGAGGAGCAAGTAAATTTCTTTCTGCCACTAAGGAGCTCTATAAATATTCCTTACTCATTCTCACCTACTTGGTGTGATGTATGCTAATACATGTTTTAACTTTTCATTGTTTAGTGCAGCACTTCCTTTTACCAAAGAGTTCTTACTGATGACTCCATGAAAGATAAAATAACAGCTAGGAATGCCGATATGCTGTATTTAAGCTGAGGCTGTATCCGTTAAAAGACCAAAGCTATCAAAGCCTTCTGGTTATATCTTTATGTACGGCTCCATATGAGTTGATGGTCGGCACCCCCTAGTGGTCTGGAGGACTTTAGTGATGCAAAGCTAGTTCTCTGCGTTTCTTCATTTGCAGTTGTTCTTGCAGCGATTTTTCCTTTAAATTCAATTTGTGTGTTTGCATCATTTTGTTGCAGCGGTACATTTTGTGTTTGCGGCGCGTCTGTATGTTGACATACATATTTGTTTTGAATGCAGCATGTGTCTTAAGCAGCGATTTTCCAGTTACGTGTGTTTTGTTTATTTGTGTCAACGTCATTTGTGTGTTTGAAGCACGTTTGCACCTTTTGGCTACCATACCATATTGTGTGTTTTGAGCATTAATGCAAAATATAGCCTGACTGTCTTCTTTGCATTGATCTCTCTTGGTTTACACAATTTTTTAACAATATTAGACATTTGTTATACATTTGGTAAAAATCAACACTCATTGTTGGCATTAAAAAAAAAACAAAAAAACATTTGTATGTGTCCTTACAGGCTTGTTTTTAATGTTCTTGCTTGCAGAAGTGCTTTAAAAGGTACCATGTGACTGTTGAGATGTGGAGACCTGAGTTATGCGCTTTATCTTTTTTTGCACAGGGAAGGTCAGTGATGTCTCTGACAAATGAGTTGTCGTGTACATGGATTTATCAGGAAGAAAAAAAGAGATTGTAAACCTGTAAAAAAACAAATGGATGTCTTGTAGAGGTTGTTAATTGTGTGAAGTTGTCTGATTTGTTTAAAGATTTCTTGTAACAATCACCCTTTAAGGGAAAACACACAGGATACTTTAACCCATGCAGTAAATGGAAAGAAAGTTCTATAGATCTGTGTTTACTAGAAAACTGCCTCCACTTTAGAATGTTAGTATAAATGGAGTTCTCCTCTGATCCAATAGCTACTTTTACCCTTTGATGTTTTTCATGTTTTGTCACATTAAAACTACAATTCCTACAAGTACAAACTACAATTCCCTAAGGCAACACTAAGTAGAACAACTTTTTTTTACCACATAGGGTTTTTGAAGCAAGCAAAAAGCGAGATAGTGCTCGTATATACTCATGGTTATGATATACTGTATTTTCCTGACTATAGAGCGCACCTCACTATAAGTTGCGTCCACTAAAATTTTTAGAAAACTGGAAACGTACACATATAAGCCGCTGATATCTACTGAACCATCTCCCACCTAACCTGTAGGGGGAGCTCTACATATAGTCCCTGGGGTAGGAATGAAGAAGAATGCTAGCTCCTGTTAGCTTGTATGCTAGCAGCAGTAAGAGCTTCTACTGAAAGTTGGGGCTTGGTTGGCTCTTTATTTCAGCTCTGCCAGAGTTGAGCCCGCTCTCTTCATTGGTTCGGCAGCTTCAATGCGCCAAATAAATGTCAAAATGTGTGAATTTGGGATCATTTTTCTGTGTCGTGCCTGCTGTTAGCATGTTCTGGTGCTAAATGAACATTAGCCCCTTATTCCATGACAGTCATGTCATACAGGTTCCAGGACAGCTCTAGACAGGGGCCAACGGGGGCCAGTGCCCCTGTAGAACTGGTCCCTGACCCAGTGCTGAAAACATACACTGCAAAAATAGAACTACATACATTTTTCTTGATAAGTCTACTTTCTCTTGATTTGCAGGGGTAGATTGGAGAATTTGCAGATGAAATAAGACAAAGTTTAAAATAAGAAAAAACTTCAGTTACAGAATATATTAGTATCTCTTTAAAGACAAAACCAATTATTCCTTTGACATAGCATCTTATTTACCTGCTCAAACGAAAGACAAATGAGCTTATTTAAGGAACTTTTTCACATTTTTAGATCACTTTTTACCGTATTATACCAGATCTGTTTTTCTTTCTTTTTTTTTTTTTACTGATTTGTCCCTTGTACCAGTTTAATATTTTACTGTAACAATTATTTATAAATTACAGTCAGCTTTAGGCTTTAGTTATATCAAAATAAGATCAAGATTCGACAACTTTAAGACTTTGTTTCAGTAAACAGACTAAACAATGCGCTCTTGCCTTATTTTTTTTCTCCCTCTCTTTGTGTGATTGACATTCTTTCCCCAAGGAAAAAAAAACGCCCCCCTTGTACAGTATCTTTAAACTAGAACTGCCACTGGCGTCCAATGCTCGAAGCGTCTTCAAAGATATCTTGCAAGGCAGCGTAACTCTTAACAAATTTCTCCACATGATGCATCCACTACCGTGTCTTAACAGTTATAATGTCAGCTGGTAGTTTTCCAGTCTTCTGAAGTTAATTATTTGGACTACTTCCAAGATTTCCTAAGAATTATTTCCATCCATCTTCCCATTAGCTCTGATTAACTCCTGGCTAAAGAAAAGCTTCTCCACTGCATGAGACTAGTTACCGGTACTAAACTGCTAACTAGTAACTTCTGGAATCAGCAATGTCTGCTAAATTAAATTCAGTAGCATCAGAACAAAACTAATGCTTGTAAAATATATTAAAGTTTGTATTAATGTGACAAAATCTGAAAAAGGTTCCAAGGGTCAGAAGGTGATTCTGATGTACTTTGGTCCAGAGAAGGCGAGTAAATCCATTTCACAGCATCAGGATGCTGTTTCTCCTGCCGTTTCTTCCTGCTCAAATGAAGCCATGATCTCACCTTCTTGTTCTTTAAGCTGCACCCAGTTCAGAAGTCCTCAGGGAAATCTGCAGCTGCACTGTGAGCAGGCTAACACCAGTTTCCTGCTGTTTTTTTTTTTCTTTGATGGTCGATCACAGAGCTTTCCGGGAACCATGCATCCGATCTGAGCTCTTATCCAATTGTCTTAGTGATTTGCAACATCAAGTTTGAGGATGTGGAAAAACTAAAGTAGTCCTTTCATTTGTGGACTTCCTCAAATTATAACCAGATTAGATCCATTTATAGCTTCTCTGTTGTTTTTTTGTGTTTTATTTTGTGTTTCCCAATGGATTCAATAGCTTAGCATCTTTCTTCTTTTTTTTCTTGTTTTTACTGGTCCTGATTTAAACCAAACTGGTAGAGTTCATTTGTCAGACGTAATTCAAAAACACAAATTGTTCCTTGCTGGTTGCTTACTCTCAAACACATATCAGATTGTTATATCCTGATTAGATGCAATTTGTTTTTATAATCCCTTTATTGTGAATTGTAGCCAAAGACTTGTGTTTGCTTTTATGACTTATGTTAAAGCGGTTGACTAGTCACAGCAAAGTTATTCTAAAGGTAAAGTAGTTCAGAACACAAGCTAAAAACTAAGGGCTGAACTAAATCTGCAAACTGATCCAGAAACGTATAGATCCCTTCTCTTTCCGTGTTCCTTTGTTTTTATTATTAACACAGTGGAGCTGTTAAAAGAAGAAATGGGCTGTTCAATCTGCCCTGTCCAAACGCTGAGAAAAACGGACCACGGCTTTTATTTTTATTTCCGTTTCCTCTGCTCTGTTAAACCTTTATATTGCTGCTAAAAATTGTTTCTTATTTAAAGCTAAGAGTGAGCAGATTTTCAATCATCTTGCTAAAATGTACCACTACCACAAAGTTTAAAAATATAATCTTTAAAGGTATAGTTATGTTTATTTTTATATTTTATTTTTTTTACTTGTCATGAAGCTAAATGTTACTTCACGTTGGGAGCAAAGACGAAAGTGAACCTCTGATGTGTGGCTCCTCGCTTAGAAGTAGGAACCTTTATGTTGGTTGTAATTCATAGGGGAGTTGGTTGTCATATATGGAGTTAATTTTGCTCCATTATTGTTAAAAGCAACAAACATGTTTTGTGAATGGAAAAAAATTTTTTAAGCGAAAATGTAAAAAAAAAAATGCATTTCAGACACTGAAAAACTTGTTCAGAAAAAAAAAAGTTTTAATAGTAATGTTGCTGTTTTCTCAGAAGGTTGGAAGAATTATGATTTGAACATAAAGTGTCTGTGAAAAAACAAATGATCAATAATTTTGATAAAATTAAGTGTGAAAATAATAAAAAATAATAATGAAACAAATCAAAGAACACTGCTGTTACTCCCAAAAGCTTTTTTAACTTAATTTCTGAATAGCTTTTCTTCTTTTTTCTTCTAATCTCCATGTAGAAATAGTTCCTTGCTTTCAACAATAATGAAATGACATTCACTACATAGCCACAGCCCACAGCAATGGCCATTCTATATAAAAGAAAAGATAATCAAAGCCTGTGTGCATCACAGAAGGAGTCCCATAAACATGATTAATGACTTTTCCACCTGGAATAAAAAATAGAATCACATATGCCTTTTTTAACCTTAAATTTTCTATTAATTTGCTAAACAGAAAAGAGAGAGATTTAAACACAAATTTAGGTAAAGAGATAAAATGCTGAAGATTTTGTGTGTTTTAGCATAATACAGCCCTGATTTTTTATTTTTTTTGCTTTCAGGCATCACAATGTAAGTCTATAACTATAGTAATATCT